ATAGTTAATAAGAGTGAACTAACCAAAACTATTTTTTTTTTATGTATAAATCCAAACTAAACCAATTGAAATGATGGGATTAGTCGGTTCGTTAATCGAATTATCTTAAATAATTAAAATATTTATTATTTATTATCATAAATGTATATTATTTTAATATTTTATATATTTTTATATTATTATTTTTGGTTAAAAAGAATATAAGAAATACATGATAAAAATGTATAAAAAAATAATACTTTTTATATATTTTTATAAATTGCAAAGTTGACCTATGGGCCAAATTGAAATATAATAAAAATTTGAAATTACAATTGAGTGCATGTGATTTATCCAATTTTTAAATGCAAGCCCCCCAATATCCCAAGCCACACGTTCATCAGCCATCTTCAGACCACTGTGTTTTGCCGCCGTGAACCACACCGGCCGAAGAGGAGGTCTTGCTGCCCAGACAAAGACGCATCCAATGTTACTTGTACGGCCGATTTACTGAATTCGACTCGAAAAAAGGTAAGGTCACAACTATGGCGGGCAGCGGCGGCGGCAGAAATATGGAAAACGAGACGGCGGCGTACGAATGTGGAGAGGCGTTGGAAAGACGACGCACAATGTGCGGCGGCGAGCTTAGGCGTGCCGACCTAGGGTGGCTGACGAATTCGAGTCAACCTGCTCATAGAGCGGCGACTTCCCTACGCGTGGTGGTGGGAGAAGGTGACAGCAAATTCATTCAACCTGCTCCAATTTTTTTAGGGTGAAAATCGGTTACAATAGAGATAACAGGCGGCGGAGGCCGCCGGATGGAGATAATGGGTGGGGACCTCGGTCGGCGGCGCAGGGTGCAAGGCCACCGTGGATTGGCCGGCGGGGACAAAAATCGCGTGTACGGTGGCGGAAGTAGCGCCGGTGGAGCTTGGCGTCATCGGCCGCGAGTCACCATTAGTGAGAGAGAGAGAGAGAGAGAGAGAGAGAGAGAGAGAGAGAGAGAGAGAGAGAGAGAGAGAGAGAGAGAGACGTTACAGATGGGGAGAGAAAGAGAGACTTACGACTGGTGGATATGTGATTAATGTGTAGGTGTGGTGGGTCCCACTAATGTGGATGGTTGAAGAAAGACCACATTACCCTTAATGTGTTAAAAAATTGTCTTTTTTTTTTTTTTTGAACTGTTGGATGATCAGATTATGTGGTTGAGATTTATTCTCATTTCTTTCACTGAGAACCATTCTCATGTGAACCCAACCCTATATATATATGTCGATGTCATCTATATCTGTTTTTATTATGAATAATTACATAGTATGGAATATTGATGAGCACGTTGATTATTGCTCAGCCCGCACAATTATCTTTTCAGGTTAGCATGCCGGGCGGGACTCAAGAGGGACTAGTGGTGGTCATATGCAGTTTATTTATTGCTTCCGCTATTGAACATTTTATTTTCCGAACATGTTATTATCAGCTATGTTGGACATTGTTAGGATTCCAGTTTCAGTTTTTCAATTCATTTATCAGACTAGTATCGATCGCTCTGCTAGATCTTAATGAATTGAACATGTTTTATGTCGGGATCAGATATGCTGAAAATGATTAAAATCAGACATGATAATAAAGCCAGATACATGTTTAGTAAGTACCCTCAAAGCATGTTTAAAAAAAAAAAAAAAAAAATCAGAAAAGTCTGATTTATTTTTAAAACTCTGATGATTTCCATGTATAAGTAGAGGGGCTTACACACTCCGCAGGTCCAATTTGGTAAAGACCGCAGCACCATGCAACTGGTCCAACAGATCGTCAAGGTGTTGAATAGGAAATTGGTAACGGACCGTGATCTTGTTAATGGCCCGACTATCAACACACATCCTCCACGATCTGTCTTTCTTCGGGATGAGTAAAGCGGGGACAACACACGGGCTCAAGCTACAGCGAACAACACCACGCTGCAAGAGTTCCTCCACCTGACGACGTAACTCCTCATGTTCTGTCGGGCTCATCCGATAATGGGGACGGTTCGGCAGAGAGGCACCCGACACCAAGTCGATCTGATGTTGGATGTCCCGAAGTAGTGGAAGGCCCGAAGGTAGCTCCTCCGGGAAAACATCAGAAAACTCATCAAGGAGAGGCTGGATAATGGATGGAGGTGAACCATCAATGCCAATGTCAGTCCCCAAAAGTAACAGGACAAATGGAGTCATCTGCATTTCGCCGACAAAAACTGCAGGAGAGAGAAAAAGAACCGAAGATGAATTATCAGTAGATAAAGGGCGAGGAGGGGAAGGATGGAGTACCAGCCGAACGCCCTCAAATAAAAAACTATAAGTGTTGAGGCGCCCGCCGTAGACCACTGCACGATCAAACTGCCAAGGGCGACCCAGTAAGAGATGACACGCGTCCATAAGGACAACATCATACCATGCCGTGTCGTTGAACTTAGGGCTGATAGAAAACTACACCAAAACCCGTCGATCCACAGTAATGGAGTTGCCACGCTGTATCCAAGCAAGAGTATAGGGGTGAGGGTGTGGCTCGGTAGACAATTTAAGACGATCAACGGAATCCTAAGCAACTACATTTTCGCACGAACCGGTGTCGATAATGAAACGACACACCTTACCACCAACAGTACACGTTGACTCGAAATGGTTATGGCCCTGGAGAGAGTCCTCCGAGGAAGCCCGGGGCGCAAAACATGCACGTCGGATGACCAAAGTCGGGCCCACATCACCCATCAAATGCTCCTTAACTAGCTCATGCTCATCGTCAAAAACCGGTGGGCCCTCGTAAACCACTCCATTGGGACCCTCGAACTAAAAATCTGTGACCAAGGCGCGAGACACCCCCCCNNNNACGAGGACAAGCCGATTGCAGATGGCCAGCCTCGCCGCAAGAGAAGCAACACGGGCCAGGGCCCGATCGTGAGCCCTCAGCCGCCTACGCCGTACCAAAACCGACGGTCGCGCTCGACGGTCCACCCCATGCCGTCAAACCCGACGACCCTGTTGCGCTGCCCCGACCGAATGGATGACCTCCAACCGCCGCGGACCGTGAAGAACCAGCCGCTTAGGGCGCCGCCAGAGCCCCACGCGGTTGAAAACTGATCGCCGGCACTGGTCGACCGCGTTGTTGCTGCTCGATGAGTAATGTCCAGTGGTGAGCGGTTGAAACACTGTCTGGCGCGAACATATTTAGCATGTCGCGGATGCTGACCCGCAATCCTCCCACATAACGCGACACCAATTGAGGTTGAGTGTCCCGTATTTTCACTCGATTGAGAAGGCGATAGAAATCAAGTGTGTACTTGTCGACGGACCGAGCACCATGGCGTAAATTATGCAGTTGTTGGTATATGGTACTCACATAATTGAAGGGAAGGAATTCTCGCTCAATGTGTTTCTGGAATTTGGCCCACGACTTGATCTTAGGTTTGCCCATCTGTCGGGGGGACTCCGTGACGTGCAGCCACCAAGCGATGGCACTCCCGCGCAAACGTGTGGCGACGAGCCCCACTAGATGATTGTCCGGGACCTCCTTGTAATCCAACACCGACTCGACCGAGACCAACCAGTCGAGAAAATCAGCTCCATCGAGCCCCCCCGTAAATTCAAGAATATCCACGCGAAAGGCCGCTTCCCATCGTCGTTCACCCAACGCCGCTTCCTCCGTTCGCGGCTCATCCTTGGCAAACGGATTGAAATCCTCCTCCGTGGCATCAGAGTCGGCGCCGCTCTCCTCCTCGCACGGCCCGCGCTGCCTGCCGCCACCACGTGGATGACCACGAGCCCCGCGGCCCCCACGCAACTCCCCGCGACCGCCGATCCTGCCATCGAGCCCATCACGGTTTATGCCGTCGTGATTCGCCATCTGCTGGAGAACCATCCTGATGTCCGCCATGCCCTCGGTAAGGTCCGCAATCTGCCGGCCAAAACCCTCGTTCTTGCGCATAAGGGAAGCAATCGCCGCATCCCTTCTGTCATTGACCGGATCGGTTCTCTTCGGTGGCATCGTGGATCGTAGTTGATTCTTATTACCACATGATGTAGCGCGGCTTCGAACAAGAGAGAATAAAAAGATGAAATCTTAAATTCTGTAATTTTTATTCAATCAATAATGTGTTCATAAGAAAGAAGAATGGAATAAATAGTCCCAACAACCTATGTTTCCTAAATAAAGGAATAATACTTAAATAAATATTAACTAAAATAAATAAAAACAAGGAATAATAATAAAAGTTAGGAAATAAATAACTAGACTAAATAAGACATCCGATCGTATTTCTGCATAAACGTCATCCCGGTCTCGTCTCCATCAGTTCCCGTTGTAAGTCTCAGAGACTACAAATTTTTAACCTTATGTTTTTAATCCTAACGGTAGATTTCGTTGAGCTATGACTATAAATTTTTTGGACTCGGAGTGCACATGACGCTTTCTTCGTGGAACCCAACAGGAACTACTTCGTTGTATGCTATCCATGGAAGGGTGATTGCAAATCATTACCCTCTTTTTTTGACTCTAATGCTGTTAAACAATTTCTTGAAATTCCTTAGGGCTTTTCCAATGGTTAGCTATTTGGCTAACTATTATGGCGTGGACAGTGGACAGGGGAAAAGTAAGAGAGAGAGTAGTCACTAGCTACTAACAAATAGCTTATCTATTTCACGTAGCCCAAGATCATGTGAGAGGAGTATATGGGTCCAATAGTGTAAAATAATTATTTTTCTTATCTCTCACATCCACGTCAGCTAACCATATAGCTAGTAATAGCTATTACCATTGGAGATGCTCTTCGGTTGGTTTGGTTGCTAATACTCACCTATTAGTATGGACTAATTAATAGCATAGAAGTTATAAAAAAAAAGATGTTGTCTTCTTCACATGCTGCAGTAAACTGGTATAGGCTTGTAGTATATGATGATTTGGATTTAGATTGTTGGATGCAACAGCAAGTTGTATATGAAGTTTATAACTTTCAATAATAAAAAATTAAAAAATAGAAAATCTCTAAACTCCTACTTTGAGAAAGATAACAGTCTGCTTATTCTTTTGGTTCCCAGTGGGTGTGAGAGGTTAGCCTGGGTGGTCGCTGACAGTTGCTGGGCCACAGACCGCATGTCGGGCCGCAATTCGGGGCTTTCTTGCGTGCATGATAAAGCAACAGTGATTATGAAAAACAACTCTTGTGCCGTTTCCCCAGTGGGAGGCGAGAGCCGGTGATCAATGAGTTCGTTCAAGAGCACATCTGATTGCCATTGGGCGTTGTTGAGCGAGTGAATGAGTTCTCCTGGGTGACGCCCTATGATAACTTCCAGTGCCACCACACCAAAGCTGTACACATCCGATTTCTCACTCACCTTCATCGTAAAAGCTAGCTCTGCATGCCAAGTCGCAACTAATTACTTGTTAACCGGCACAAGTATATATATCGACGAGAAAAGAGTGAAGTGAAATGAATTTTACCTGGTGCCATGTAGCCGTAAGAGCCGGCAACAGTGGTCCAAGCCGACGAATGAGGAGTCAGCAGTTTGGCTGTCCCGAAATCTGACAAACGCGGCTCAAAGTTTGCCTCCAAAAGGACATTCCCGGCCGATACGTCACGGTGCACGACTGGCGGGGAACAGTCATGGTGCAGGTAGGCGAGCGCGTGGGCCACACCGCGGACGATTCCAATCCTCGCGGGCCACTCCACCCGGGATGCCTCCGTGTCGTCCGACAGCACCGTCCTCAAGTTGCCTCTCTCCACGTACTCGTACACCAAGTACATGGACTCTCCCCTGGAGCAATACCCGTGCAGCTTGATTATGTTCCTGTGCCTCACGTGCGTCAGCGTCTTGATCTCGTTCTCGAAACTGATGCGATTGGCCGGCGTTATCTCGTCCGATTTCAAGATGTCGAGCCTCTTTACGGCCACGCTTTGGCCGCTCGGCAAATCAGCTCTGTACACGCTCCCGAACCCGCCTTTTCCAATGCAGAATTTCTCGCTAAAGTCATCGGTTGCCCGAATAATTTCTCCGAACGTGATTTTTCCCTCGCTGAAGGATTCGGAGCCACCCAACACAGGGGCCTCTTCCTCTTTCTTGATTTTCGCTCGCATGAGTAGACATCCAGCAACGACGCCTGCCAAGATTACGAGGCTAATTGATGGAACAATGGTGCCAATGAGAATCCTTATCCTGTTATTTTTGGAATTGGAATTGGTGGAGTTCACAGAACAAGGAGGCAATCCATCTACATCTCCACACAAACCAGAGTTTTGAACAAAGGCCTCTGCTGATGCTTGGATGAATACATCTCCTGTTGGGATTGGGCCAGAAAGACTGTTGTATGAAAAATCGAAACCTCTGAGGCTGATCATTTCCGATAACTCGTTTGGGATCCGACCCGAGAGGTTGTTGTGTGATAGATTAAGAATTTCTAGAGATATGAGCCTTCCCAAAGATGATGGAATCTGTCCTGAAAGTGAGTTGTTGCTGAGATCCAGGAAATATTGCAAGCTCGTTAATCTTCCGATTTCATACGGGATGTTTCCCGTTAAAAGGTTATTGCTCAAGTTCAGGCTCTGCAAGCCTCCCAAGTTTCTGAAAACGTCAGCATTAATATTCCCTGTGAATTCATTTCCCGACAGGTCAAGATACTGAAGCCTCGTCAGCTGACCGATAGTTCGTGGAAAATCTCCGTTGAGCCGATTATTGCTTACGTTAAGATTGAACAGCCGGTCGAGCCTTCCCAGCTCAACGGGCATTGGTCCGGTAAATTCGTTCGAGCTCAAAATGAGAACACGTAGTTGTGTGAGGTTGCCGAGCTCGGCTGGAATCACTCCAGATATTCTATTATTATCTATCTGAAAATTCGAGAGATTCCCATAATGGCCCCACTCGGATGTGAGCTGCCCGGTGAACTGATTTCCACTCAGGGATAAATACTCAAGCTGCGGGTGGTACCCAAAGGCCTCGGAAATATTTCCCGTAAACCGGTTGCCTTCGAGACGTACCCTTCTAAGGCCCAAACAGCTTCTCACGCAGCCTGGCAACGGCCCGGAAAACCTGTTGTTGTTCAGCGTGAACTGATCAAGGGCAAGCCCGCTGCATAATCCGGACGGCAACTGACCGGAAAAGCTGTTGTTCGTGAAGCTCACATTCGCGAGTCCGGGGCTGTTGGTACCCAGCTCAGGTGGGATTATACCAGACAGGTTATTGTTAAAAACCGATAGGGTTGTGAGATTGACTAGTGTAGAAATGGAATCGGGCAAAGGCCCGGTGAGTTGATTGCTGTTTAGATCAAGAATCTGAAGAGATGTTATGTTTCCAATATCAGGTGGAATATTTCCGGTGAGGTTGTTGGAGTAAAGATTTAGCAGTGTAAGATTCGTGAGGTTTCCTATTGATGAAGGTATTTGGCCTGAAAGCTGATTGGTCGAAAGGTCGACTGCCAGAAGGTTATGTAAATAGCCCAACTCTGTTGGGATGGGCCCCGAGAATCGATTGTTGTAGAGAAACAGATAGTTGAGATTAGCCAATAGGCCAATCTCAGGTGGAATTTGCCCTGTGAAGCTATTGTTGAACACCTGCAAAGATATCAGTTTGGTCCAACCGGACAGCAAAAGAGCCGAGATATCACCCGACAATCTGTTTACGGATAAACCCAACTCGGATAATTCGGTCAAGTTCGACAGGGAAGGAGGCAAGGGCCCGGATAAGAGATTCTGGGCCAAAGCTAAGTAGGTGAGGTTACTGCATTGACCGAGCTCGGAAGGTATGGTCGAGTTCAACGCATTCATATGAAGGTCCAGCCGCTTTAGATTCCTCAGCCGGCCTAAGGAAGCCGGTATATTCCCATAAAGGGTATTATTGGAAAGCTCGAGAATTTCAAGATTCGGCATTAGGCCAAGGGACTCGAGTATCCTGCCTGAGAAAGAATTGGTCCCGAGTCGAAGGTCTTTCAAGTTGGATAGGTTGGTGAGATTCTGTGACAGGGGGCCTTCAAATGAATTTGTGCTGAGGTTGAGGTATTCAAGGTTGACGAGGTTGGTGAATAAAGATTCGGGCAGCGGACCTGACAGCGTGTTAACCGACAGATCGATATAAGTGAGGTTGAGACAGTTTAGTATGAAACCTGGGAATTCCAAGGTGAGCTCATTGTAGTAAAGGCTGAGATGTTGTAACAATGGGAAGCTTGGAAATTGTGACCAATCAGGAGTCTCCAAGTAATTTGAGCCCAAGTCGATGAACTCCAGCTCCTGAAGATTTCCGATCTGGGACGGTATTTGTCCGACGAGGTTGTTGTTCTGGAGGCTAATGTAGTTGAGCCTTCTCAAATCGCCAATCTCAGGTGGTATGGAATGTTCTAGAAAGTTGTTGCCGAGGTCCAAGAACGAGAGGCGGGAGAGGTTGCCGATAGCGGCTGGGATCGGGCCTTCGAGACTGTTCCCGTTGAGGTCGAGAAGCGTGAGGTTGGGGAATGAGGCGAAGTCGAGGCCGTCCAAAGTACCAGTGAGGCCAGCATTTGGTAAGTTGATCTCGGAAATCGAGCCTCCGTCGTTGGCGCAGCGTATCCCGGGCCATGAGCAGAGGCTTGTGAGGTTGTTGAGGGACCATGAAGCTAGGTATGGTGGAGATGGTGATGATAAGGTGTTTCTCCACCTCACCAGTGCCCGTGCTGCCTGTGCTTGTGCTGTGGTTGTGGAGGATTTTGTTTGGAGAGAGAAAAGGGTGAGGACAAAAATGTGCACAAAGGAAACGGATCTTGTGTTGTACTTATTCATGGATGCTTTGGGGTTTGGTTTGCTTTGGTTGAGACTAATAGTATTTATTGGGATCAATAGTGCTGCTGCTTTCATTCAATCTCAACTCAACGCGTTGAATGATTTGGGCAAAGTGTGTACAATCTTTATTCAACTGAATAAATAACGAATTATTGGAGTTTTTTTTTTTTT